AGAGAAATGCAAATCAAAACAGCTCTGAGGTACCACATCACACCTATCAGATTGGCCAACATGACAAAACATGAAAATGATAAATGTTGGAGAAGATGTAAGAAAATTGGAACACTAATGCATTGTTGGTGGAGTTGTGAAATGATTCAACCATTTTGGACAGCAATTTGAAACTATGCCTAAAGGGCTATAAAAATGTGCATACCCTTTGACCCAGCAATAGCACTTCTAGGGCTATATCCCAAAGAGATCAAACAAATGGGAAAAGGACCCACATGTACAAAAATATTCATAGCAGCTCTTTTTGTGGTGGCAGAGAATTGGAAATTGAGAGGATGCCCATCAATTGGGGAATGGCTGAGCAAGTTGTGGTATATGAATGTAATGGAATACTATTGTGCTATAGGAAATGATGAACAGGCTCACTTCAGAAAAACCTGGTTTGATGCTGAACCAAGCAGGACCAAGAGGACACTATACACAATAATAGCCACTTAATAACAGCACGAGCAATAACAGCCATGTTGTGCAATGACTAATATTGTAAACTTAACCCTTCCCAGTAATACAAGGATCTAAGACACCTCCAAAGGCCTCGTGATGGAAAATGCTATCACATCCAAAGAAAGAACTATGGAATTTGAATTGCTACTTTTTTTCTCTTCTGTTGAGTTTTGTTTCCTCTTTCTGGTGGTTCCTCCTATTGGGTCTAATTTTTACTTACAACATCACTAATGTGGAAATACATTTAATGGGAATGTATACGTATAGCCTATATCAGATTGTGCGCCGTCTTGGGGAGGGTGGTGGGGAGGAAGGAAGAGAAAAATTTTAAACTCAAAAGCATGTGGAAGTGATTGTTGATAAATCAAAATAAATTAATAAAAAAAAATTTTTAAAAAAAGAATACTTGGTATAGAAAAAGAAAAGAAAAAGGCCTAGGACAGAGTGAGGGGTGGGGAATACCAAGGAGCCAGAGACTGATATTGATTCACAGGGCACAACCATAGGAAGTAGTGTCAGAAAAAAAAAAAGGGAGCAGAGAAGTAGGTGGGTCAATAATGTCAAACACTACAGAGATCAGAGAATGAGAAGAGAATCATAAGATATATTGGTTAAGAGATGGTGAATAACCTTTGAGAGGGTAGTTTTTCAGGTGGTGGGGTCAAAAGCTGCATTAAAAGTAACTGGAAAGTGAATGGGTGATGAGGAAGTCAAAGCAACAAATCTATTTTCAGGAGGTTGACGAAAAAAAGGAAGAGAGATAAAGGATAATAGCTTAAGGAGGAAGTATAATTGAGCTAGGGATTTTTATGGATAGAGTAGGCATAGTTGTATTTCTAGGTGGAGAGGAAGGATTCAGACAGGAGAGATTGAGAGTAAGAGTCGATACGATGAGCCAAGGAATACAGAAGGGGAGGGATCCATATCTGCATTCATCTTATCAAGACTGACTCATCTTGTCAAGAAAAGACACCTTTTCAGAGAACACAGTAAGAAGAGGATGATTTAAGAGTAAAAAAAGGAGATGAAGGAATCATAGGGGGTTTGAGAAGAGAGTCTGAAACACTGCTTCAAGGAGTATGAAAGTCCATCATGGAAGCATATAAGGAATTGTCACGGAGGGATAAGGGTCACTACAAATAGTTATCTTCCAAGAGAGTTCAGGTGCACAATAGCAGGAACCTAGAAGACTGATGGGGGAGGTGGTACAGGGTTAAGTACTGGCAGGGCATAAGCAACAAAAAAATAATGGGGCAAGAAGACTGGACTGAATAATAAAGCACAGCTGAACTGGTCAACTACAGGGTTAAGGCCCTAAAGAGTGGAAAGTGATGCCAGAGCAAGGGGGAAGGACTGCCATAGTGGGGAAGGGCAGAGGGACTCAAGCTCAGGTTGAGGGCAAAGAATAAGTTTAGGAAAAGTAAGGCACTGGAAGAAATTCTAGGTAGTTGATTAGTGAGGAAAATGTTAGAGTTCAAAATCATGGTAATTTGTGAATTCATACTCACAATTACATTACCTGTAGAACCTACAGTCCTCTTTATCAGAGCTGATTTAATCTGACAAATATTCATTAAGAATATACAACCAAAATCAAACCTGTTCCTAACCACAAAGAGCTCATATTCTATTATGGGACAAAATATTCACACGCATAAAGTACAAGGAAAACTGAGGAGCAAAAAGAACAAGGAAGTTGGCCAATGATCCTCACCTGTGGTTTAGGAGTAAGTGGACAGCTGAACCAGGAGCTCAGAACAGTGCATATGCAATTTGACTACGCAGGGTGTGTGTGCAGAGTATGTGTGCACATATTATATTTGTGATCTATATTACACACACATATATAATACTTATTACACACAACATGTATATTATATGTGTTGTTGATATACAGATTATGAATGTTTTTTGGTTGTTTTGTTATCTGTTCTCTTTGTCCTCTTTAGTACAGATGGTATCTGAGAGTTAAGTGTATACTTAAGTATATACATATATATGTATATGCATAGATATAGATATAGATATGTTTAAACACAAATTTTGCGTGAGTTTTCATGTTGTAACAAATATATTTGCGGTGTGTATATGTCTATCTGGAAGAATGGAGGATGTCTATTCTTCTTGAAACAAAAGAATCTAAGAATATAGTCAATATAGTCTACTCAGGACTGATGTGAATCATAGAAATAATTATACATATTAAATGTGCCCCTGCATAGAAAAAGAAAATTTTTAATTCAATGCATATGACTATGTTGTTTCATGGTTATTAAATATAAACATCTCTTAAATGATCATTGTTTCAGAATAATAAATATTTTTATATTTTATTATAATTCTGATTTTGATTGTACAGTGTTCTCTGACACATAATAGGAGACAGCTATAACCAGATACTAGCGGCAGATTTTCAACCTGTCACTCAAATTTTTTAACGCTATTTACCCCAAACCCCTCGTTTAAAACAAAACAAAACAAAACTACCAACAACTAGCATTCTGTGTTCAAAGGAGATCCTTACATAGTAAAGTTATTTACTAGCCCCTTGAGATACAGAAGGCAAGGGGTAATTAGTAAGGAAGGACTAGCCATCCTTCATAAAATCTTCATTGAATGGTAACACTGACCATTCGCTAATGATGTTTGGATATGAGCCATTTAAAACTGGTAGAAAAACAAACAAAGCAATAATAACAACAGAGCAGTAAGTAAAATGCACTGACTCAGTCAAGAGAAACCATCGCATGGTGGTCTGGAGTTATGAAATTCCATTGCAACAAATGCATTAAACAATAACCATCCTTTGTCAAACCCACTCAAGGTGTTACTCCTTTTCAGGTATGTATGCTTTCTGAAATACTCAACCAATAAGCAGAGAAACAGCAGATACACTTTAACTACCGCGTACTTTTCCACCAACTCAGCTGGGGGAAGCAGGGATAGGAGGGAAAAGTCATGAAGACAAAAATTGAAGAATGAATGCCAACCATACTGAACGCATTTCAAAGCACAAAACATGCACAGCTCTCCTGTACCCGCAGAGCTAACCTGGCAAAACGCTGTGCGGCTGGCCTGATCTTGATACCAGCCTGCTCCAACCTTCTGCGTTTTCTCATCTCTTCAAGATCTTTGTGGGTGGCTTTTTGTGCTACTGTTTCCTTCGTACTCTCTGGAAGAGACTGTTCCTTACCATTCTGCTCATTCAATTCTAACCTCACGTCGGAAGGTTTTCCACTAGGATCCGATGGGGCGGCCTGCGCCTCTTCACCTTGAGTCCCCACGTCATTTTGTTCTTCCTCCTCTATGGTTTCTGGGTAGCTATTGAGTTGTACAATACAGTTTACCAAACTGGAAATGCCACATTGATGGTTGAGCTGAGACCAAACTGGATAGCTTTCTTAACTGTTATAAAACTAATCTTCCAAAAATGAAAAGTCATAATTTATACAACATACAGTTAACCTAATAATTTAATTAAAAAACCCAAGACAAACACAAAGTTGAATCATTTCTTAACAGTTAATGTAATATACAATCATTCCAGTAGCTCTTAAATGCTATTCCAAATGCTTTCTACTACTGTACAAAATGTATTAACTTTAATTTAATAAGATCATTTCCATTTCAACGTTTGTGTGAGAGTAAAGCACACAATTAGAAAGAAAACATTCAGATAAATACAGTCACCCAAGAGGTTTTGTACTGCTTATCCCAGAAAGAGCATTGAAATGAAGGGGTGAGGAGGAAGAAGGGGTCACACAACCTGGGTTTGAACCAGAAGATTGATTTCTCTTCACATAGCTAGTAAATGGCAATCAGTTAACCTCTATGAGCCTCAGTTTTCTCTGACATAAAAAGAAAAGAAATTAACTAACTGCCCTATCTTCTTCACTGTGCTATTATTATGATCATCAGATGGAACAAGGTAGGTGAAAGAACTTTTCAAACCGTAAAGTGTTACACAAGGGTAAAGGTGTATAAAATACAAATTTTAAAAAACTACAGATAAAGAATAAATTACTTAAGACACTTCCTCCAAATTGGGAGAGTCCAAGTTCCTGACAGCTGACTATTATTTCCTCTAGGTTTATCTTTCAAGGAAGTTCTCACAGACTTTCCCCTTAACTCCCCAATTCATAGTGCAGTCTCCCCATACCTAACCTGGCTCTCCAGGAAACTAGTTTCTTTGGAAGAAGCCAGACAACGGTCTATGACTAGTAGAGTTTTGTGCACAAAATGGAAACCTGTGTTCTCAATGCTCAGGTCAACAAGGCAAATGTCATACCTTAGTGGCATGATTCTTGTATGAGAGGGCTGAAATTGCCATGATTTGACAATGTTTAATAAGGGCATTTCTTTCAGGTAATAAGAGAAGAGAAGAGAAGAGAAGAGAAGAGAAGAGAAGAGAAGAGAAGAGAAGAGAAGAGAAGAGAAGAGAAGAGAAGAGAAGAGAAGAGAAGAGAAGAGAAGAGAAGGTGAAAGGCTGGCCCTACCTGAAAGTTCTCTCCCCGCCTAGGGGTGAAGTTGCAGTACTCCAGCTCTTCCGGTAATCCTCTCGCTCTGCCTTCTTCCTTCTCAGAGGCGCAGGTACATAAGCTGTCTGGTTACTCTTATTGGGGAGGTACTGGTTAAAAGGCACTGCTGATTTCGGCTCACCATGAGAAGTCCTCCTTGCTGACATGTCATCCTTCTTTACATCTGGCAGCTTTCGATGAGGCAAATCAGATTCCGAGTCACTTCCTCTGCCTAGGTAAGAGAGGAAAAGTGTTGATAATTAGTGTGTGAGATGGGTGTTTACCTGTTAAGAGAGCTTAAATAAGCTACTTTCTTTGAAATGGCAAGTTTTTATGGCATTAAAAGTTTTGTTCAAGTCTGGGAGAGTATTACGTCTTCCATCTCAGTTAACTATTCTAAAGCATCAATATAAATTGGTATATCCTGGGGTACCAGGGGTAATTCCCACTTTAATAAAGAAAAAAAAAAGCTTAAAAGTTCAAACAGTAAGATTTTTCAATTAGTAGCAAAATTACAACAGAGATACAATTTTTGCCACTATCATACATGCAGTTTATATTTTTATTTTAAATTTAGAATTTATATTATATATATATAATTTAATTTTTATTTTATTTTAAAACCATGTTCATTTCATAATATAACCCCTTCCATACCTATTAAACCTTTTCTTTTGTCAAGGTTTTTTAAAAACAGTTGAGTGAAGCTATACAACACTTGGAACGACAGTACATGCAACATGCAACATGCAACACTCCATAGTCTGCTGCCTCCACAATAAAGAGAGGAGAGGGTAATTTTTTTCAAATCTTCTCTACAGCCAAGTATGGTCTCATTATAATTATACTAGGTGAAGATTTCTTTTTGGCCATTTCCATTCCCATTGATACTTATGCTTCAAAAATTAAATATAAATCAACCAACCATATATTTATTTAATCAGTATCTACTCTTGACATATCAAGCACTGTGAGGGATCCAAATATATAGGATATGACTCTTTTGACCCTCATGGTACTTATTAGATAGGATGATGTTAATTGGGTGCTATAAGACATGAATATAAATGAAACGTTTAACAAGCAAAATAATATGGAATTAAAAAGCAGATGTTCAAGTATAACAGGAGTTCCAAGAAGGGAGAGTTCCAAGATTGGTAGGTATTAGTCCATGAAGTCTTCAAGATGGATCTTAAAGAAGAAGGACTTAGAAAATTATAGTTGATGAATGTGGATGGTCCAGAAGGTAGGGACAGTCAGAGCAAAGGAACAGAGGTAGGAACAAGCCTCTGATGTAGAAGAGACAGCACAGAGGCCAGCCTGGCTGGAAGACACGGCTTATTTTAAGGCACAAGAAAGAAGTAAGGTTTGGAGAGGTCTGGTAGAGCCAAACTGTGAAAGATTCTGAAAGACACAGAGTTCTTATTTGATGCCAGACAATTAACAATGGGAACCTCATGTCGCTACAGAGATGATACCTGAAAGTAGCACAGTTCCAAAAGTAAAAATTAAAATTGTTCTCAAATATTTGATACACTGTCATACAAAGCATGATGAATAGTCTCCACTGAAAAGAGAAAAAGGAGGACTGAATTACAGCATGAGGAAATTCAGGTTAGATGGAAGAATTTCCCCATGAGTTATTATTGGAAAATTGTTAGTTGTTGGAATGGACTACTAAGTGAGGTTGTAAAATCTCTTTCTTTATAGGATCTTCATCCGAACTTAAACAGGCGAGAGAAATACTGAGGCAACTAACCAGCCCACGACCTTAATCAGATACAAGCCAACATCTGTGACTATGTTGGGAAGGACACATTACTGTGAACTGTAACAGCAGACCATGCCAACAGAAAAGAAAGAACAATGAACAAATTTCAGTTTAGGCACCTACAGCCCTGGGCAATTGGCTCAAAATAATCTCATTCCTTGATTGGCCATCATCAGAACAGTATTTCTTATTTATATCTCTATAAGTTGTATACAGTTGGCAAATTCACAATCCTTGATAGGGCTATATGTAAGATATCAAGGACAAATCTAAGTAATCTGTGGGGACAGGAATTCAGATGGATACAGTGCCATTGACCTCCTTGTTGTTCCTCATACAAAATACACTCCTTTTCCAGACGCTTGGCATTTTCGTTAGCTGACCCTGTGGCTGGAATAGTCTCCCTCCTCATCTCTGACTCCTGGCTTACCCTGGTTTTATTCAAATCCCAACTCAAAATCTCACCTTAATGCTAATGTCTTCACTCTATCCAATACAAACCTTATTTGTGCATGATCATTTTCATGTCATCTCCTTCATGGGACTGGGAGCTCCTTGACAGGAGGGGCTGTTTTTTGACTTTCTTTGTTAGCACTTAGCATAATGTCTGGCAAGTAGTAGGTTCTTAATAAATGCTCGCTGACATGCTGAAAAAGCTCCTCCCAAGCTCTGCTTTTGTTAAGACCTGGCTCTGAACCCACCTCAAGGCAGACATTCTTAACAACTAATTGCCCTGGGAAGGATGTTTACTAATAAGACACAAATCTTATTAGTGATTTCTTTCTCCACAGCATCTCTCCCATACATCACTTCTCTACTCACATAACCATGACCCTAATTCAGGCTTTTGTCATTTTTTGCCCTGACTCCTCACTATTCAATGCCTCAGCTATGTACTTAGTTGCCAAATCTTGGGGTTTCTTCTTTGCTGCATCTCTTGAATTTGCTTCATTCTCTATACTCACAGAGGTACAACTTTAGTCCAGACCTCCATCATCTCTTATCTAGATTATTGTTAGCTGCATCCTAATTAGACACACACACACACACACACACACACACACACACACACACACACACACTGTCTTCACCATTAGAAGATAAGCTCAATCCAAGTAGAAACTGCTTTAGTCGTATTTACATTTTTGTTGTAAATTCCATTTCCCTACACGAATAAAATCACAGGTCCGGACTCTTTCCATTCCTTCCCTCACCCCTATCAAAAACAACAAAAATTATGTGAGGAAATTCAAGAGAAGGGGATGGGAGTGGTAGAGATTATAATGAAGGACATTTGGATGAGAGCAAAGGCAAAAATAATAGTATAACCACGGTATAGCGAAGATCACAGAGGAAGAAAGAAGTAATAGATGAGGTCAGAAAACAGACCATAATCCTGGCATGGATGCACATAAAAGTAATGATAGGAAAATTCAATTATCTAGATAGTCTAGAGCTTTCTATGCTTGAAGCAAAACAACTAATTATTTCTTTACCTGCCTAAATATAATTTTCTCATTCAAAATGTGGAGAAATTAACAAGTGAAACTTCTGTTCTGGACTTACAAGGATGGAACTGGTTGCTAGGGTAAAAATGATGTAGGAAGAAAGGGGAAATGCTACTTAAAATCTGTGACAGAGAAGGAAAGCTAGTTGTAGGCTAACATTTACCATAGATATGAGGAGAATAGATATCAAAGAATCGAGAGACACAATAAGAAGAATGTATTCCATGACCTAAAATTCTACAGGAAAACCCAAAAGGGATCAGAATCTCTCAGGAATTCAATTCTGACAACAATTCTAGTGAGCAGGAAAATTCTGAGTAGTTAAAAGAAACTGATGCAGATATATAGCAAGCTAAAGCCCTAAAAAGCTGAATTAGTGATAATTCAGGGGTTGTGTGGTAGAAGGGGAAGCTAGTGGGAGGCTGAAGAAGATATTTACAGGGTACACAACAGCACCTGGTCTGTTTAACTCTAGAACTTAGAAAGAAGAGTAATTGCTACAGGTTGTAGAGAGGGACATTTAAGCTTGATATATGGGGGGAAAACAAACTTTCTATTAATTAAAGCTATAAAGAAGTGGAATAGACTGCCTCAAGAAGTGGGATGCTTCCCTTTAAATGGAGGTCATCAGGAGCTGAATGACCACTTCTTGGGAATATTATAGAAGCAAATCTTGGCCAGGTGTGGTATGGTTAGGCTAGATCAGGTGTCCTTAATCTGAGATCTTCAAACCCACCAAAAGGATATGTGCATGGATTTCATGGGGGGGCTATGAACTTGGCTGGGGGAAAATTACACTTTTATTTTCACTAACTTTTGATTTCCTTTGTAATCTTAGGTATTTTATTTTATGCATTTAAAAATATCATTCTGAGAAGGGGGTCATAGGATTTCACTACATGGCCAAAGGAGGAGTCCATAACACAAAAAGTTCATAAATACCTGGATTTGATGGCCTCCGAGGGCACTTCAAACTCTTAAGACTCTATGATTACTAAGGCACAACTTTTAATAAGGTCACTTTCCTACTCAAAATCCTTCAGTGGATCCCTGTTGTGTCTGGTCCAAAATTCAAACTCCTCTTCCTGGTACGTAAAGCCCTCTACAATCTGGCTCCAGTCTATCTTTCCAAAATTACTTAAAACCAATCCCTTCACAAATTTTTCATTGCAACCAAACTAGACAACCACCCATTCCCCCAACTCAACATCTCTCAGGTCTTACCCTTTACTGTCTCCTATGCTGCCTCCCCCCCAGAGTATGGAATGCATCTGCAGTTCACAAAATCCTTTTCTGTATCCACAAATCAACTCCACAATAAAGCATTTCCTGATCCCCTTAGGTCCTAGGGTTCTTTTCCTCTTCAAATCATTTTGTAGTCTGCCTACTTAGTCATGGTTTTTGGTCCAGAAAGGATAAAACAAAAATTGTAAGAAGAAAGCTTGATATTCAAAATAGTTGCTACCAAATTAGTTAGGCTCTACCTGCGATGAGTTCCAATCACCAAGCTTATAAGATCTACATCCCAAGGCACTAATGAACTAATAGATGTTAACTGCCAAGCTATTATCAGAGATCTCTGAAAGATCATGAAGAATGTGAATGGCAATATAGGAATGAAGAAGGGTAAAGTGCCTAATTTTCTTTTTTTTTCCCCCCTTTTTTTGGCTAGGCAATGGAGTTAAGTGACTTGCCCAGGGTCACACAGCTAGTAAGTGTTATGTGTCTGAGGCCAGATTTAAATTCAGGTTCTCCTGAATCCAGGGCCGGCACTCCATCCACTGCGCCACCTAGCTGCCCCTTAAAGTGCCTAATTTTCAAAAAAAGGAAGAGAATGGAGACTGCAAAATATAGCCTAATAATAGCTTAACATAGATTCTACGTAAAATTCTACAAGTTGTTAAAAAGATCATTAGTGAACATCTAGGAAAAGGAAGAAATCATAAAGGGTTAAATAAGAATGAGTTAGCCCAGAATAAACTAATTTCCTTTTCTGACAAAGTTTCTAGAGAAGTCGATCTGGAAATGCTGTATTTTTGAACAACATATAGTTTATCTACCTTTTAGCAAATCATCTATAAAGTGGCTCATGATGTTCTTGGAGAAAAGATGGCAAGATATAAGCTATACAAAGGGCAGCTAGGTGGAACTGTGGACATAACGTTGGGCCTGGAGTGAAGAAGACTCCTCTTCCTGAGTTCAAATCCAGCCTCAGACACTTACTAGCTATATGACCCCGGGCAAGTCACTTAATCCTGTTTGCCTCAGTTTCCTTGTGTGTAAAATGAGCCGGAGAGGGAAATGGCAAACCACTCCAGTACTTCTGCCAAGAAAACCTTAAATGGGCTCATGAAGTGTCAGACATGAATGAAAAATGACCAGACAAACAAAAAAGCTATACAAATGGTTGGGTGTATTCGGAACTGGTTGAAGACCCAAATTAGAGTCATTAATAAATTGATGCCTCATTGCAAAAGTCTCTAGTACAATGTGCCAGCCTCTATCCTTGTGCCAGCCTCTATCCTTGACCCAGTACTGTTTAATATTTGTATCAATGACTAAGACAAAGTAATATGTTTATTAAATTTGAAGGTGATATAAAAAGACAAGAAATAGCTAACATGGATATCAGTCAGTATCTGAAGATATACTGACAGCCAAGAAAGTCTGGACAGTTTTAATCTAAAACGATGAAATTCAAGGCTAAATATGAAGACTTACTGTCAGATGACAAGCCCCCCCCCACTCCCAAAGAAGTCCCTACCTACAAGTTGGAGGAAGTGTAGCTGCATGGTTTCTGCTTCCATGAAAAAAGATTGGGGTGGTTAGGTTTAGTGGGTTACAAACTAAGGATGAACTAAGAGAACAATATGGCAGCCAGTAGAAAGGATGCAGCCTTTGGCTGTATAAAGACAAGCACAGTACCAAAGACAAAGGAAGTCATCATCCTACTGTACTCTGACCTGGGCAGCACACATCTGGAGCATTCGACTCAGTTTCAAAGTATTATATTCAAGAAGCTGTGATGGAAGAGAATTGTACTTGGAGTCAGGGAGACCTCAGTTCAAATCCTACTCCAGCCCTAGTGTCTGTGTGATTCATAGAAAGTTGATCTTCTCTGAATCACAGTTTCCTTACATGTAAAATGGGAATGCTCCCTACAGTATTGCCCTCACAGAGCTGTTGTCTGAATCAAACGACATGTTATGTAAAGTGTTTTACAAAACTTAGAAGTGAGATATAAATGTGTTATTATTTATTATTATTAGCTCTAATAATAGCTTTATAAAGACTAACATTGTAGGTATGGAATAAGTAAGTTGAATTTAAACCCTAATAACCATTGGTTCTTTTTTCCCCAAAATCCAAAACATTAAATTTAAAAATTTTTATTGAAATTTATGAAAATTCCATAGAAAGATATTTTAAGCCATCCTGAAGATCAAATATATCAATATCAAAAAACCAGCTATAAGCAACATTGTATTTATTTTAAAATATATATATTAAATGACATTGTAAAAATGATATATGGGGCAGCTAGGTGGTAAGTAGTTAGGACAGTGGGGCCGGAGTCAGGAAAACCTGAGCTCAAATCTGGCCTCAGATACTTAGTAGCTGTGTGACTGCAGGGTAGATCACTTAATCTCTGTCTGTTTCCTCAACTGTAAAAGTGAGGATAATACTAGCACCTACCTCCCAGGTGGTTGTGAGGATCAAATGAGACCTTATCTGTAAAGCACTTAGCACAGGTTTGGCCCATAACAGACTCTATATAAATGCTTATTCTTCCCTTCCCTTTTCCATTTTGGAGCTGTTTTGTGAACAGGTGACAACTGCTCATGGAAGTCCAATCCATGATTTCCAAACATAACAGCAGTAACAATAGCAGCAGCAGTTAGCATTTCTATAAAGCTTTGAGGTTTGCTTTAAAGAACTATACAAATATGACTGCATTTTATCCTTACAACAACCTGGAATAGGTATGATTATTATGCCCATTTTACAGATGAGGAACCCAAGGAAGAGAGAGGTCAGATAAATGTGCCCTGGTTCACGGAGCTAGTAAGTACTTATCTGAGGCTAGATTTGAAATCATTCTTTCCAGCTCCAAGTCCAGCACTCTATTAGCTGTGCAAATTATTGGCTCAGATAGTCTAGAGTAGCATAATATAGTAGAGAAAGATCTGCTCTGGGGTCAGAGGACCTGAGTTCAAATTCTAGCACTGCTACTTACTACCTGGATGACTTTTGGCAATTCCTTTATTCTCACTGGCTCTCACTAATATATGAGATGAGTAGACTGGATCAGTGGTATGTAGAATAGAAATGAGTCCCCTAAACTGTATATAAAGAATACAGTGGGCCACATATTGGCTTAGAAAACCACATATTAATTTTATTTGTTTTACTGGAGTTTTATTTGTTTTGTTAAATTATTTCTGAATTACATTTTCATCTGGTTCTGACTGCACATCTTTGACACTTCTGGACAAGATAACCCCTTAGGTCTATTTTAGTTTTCAATTCATAATCCCATTTTTAAATCTTTCAAACAAAAGTTTTTATTAAGTAGCTACTATGTGCCAGGAACTGTACTAGGTACTAGAGACATAAAGACATACATTTTCAAAATAGTCCTTATCTTCCAAGAGCTTACATTCTGTTGAGGATCTTGGGGGCAAATTCCACTTCTGAGCCTACATAACCTAGGTAAATTTCAATCAGCTACTTGACCAACCCAGGCCTCTGTTTTGTCATCTGTAAAATGGGGAGGTTTGACCAGACGGCCAGTCTAAATCTATGATCGTGTGTGTGTGTGTGTGTGTGTGTGTGTGTGTGTGTGTGTGTGTGTGTGTGTATTTACAAAATAAATACAGGGTAATCTGGGGGTTGGGAGAATAAAGATATTTTTGTGGGGGAGGAGAATCAAGAAAGACTTTACGCTGGAGGAAACTGAAGGAAACACCACAGAGAGATCACAGAATCCCAGTACTACAGCTCAAAGAAAAGAGACCATACAAAAGCCTTTTTGGATCTCAAATTATAGCTACAAGTTTCAGAAGCAATAACATGCAGTATGTACAAATACAAGATCATTCTAATAGAGCCCAGTTGTCTCTCTACCAGCTGGTCTATGTAGCGTGAAGCCATCACCTCTCTCCATCTTCCAGACAATGAACAGGTATTGAATGAAATGAGTCATGGAGAATGTGTAATACAGTTGAATTAAGCAACAAGAAGGTACTATGGAAAGGGAAAATTTAGATCAGTTCTTGGTTGGTGATTTAAAAATCAATTTTATCTAAATCAGATGTGCCCTGGGAACAACCATACAAGCTGGCTGTGTTATCCACTGTTGTCTTAATAACTATTGAAACTTCTAATCAATCTGTTATCCCTACAGATAAAACAAATTATTGAAAAGAATCCCATTCAAGATTCCATAATATCATGGTTCAGCAGGATCATAATCATTTTTAAAAATTCATTTCAATTTATTTAAAGTTGAGCCTTTTTTGTACCTGGAATATATAAACCTTTAGGAAAGTTTATGAGTTAATGTGTCTGCACAGCATCTTATTTTGCTGAAGCCCAAAGAGGCATGGTTTCATAAATCGCAGTTCAGTACTATGATGTAACACATTTTCCAACAGCACATACAGTAACTGAGGCAAAGTTCAAACAAACTTCTGGCAAAGTCATCAAAACCTCTTGCATCACTAAAACAACATTTTTTTCTTTTTACCCCCAAATATTTTTTCATCTACCAGCCTACAGAATTTACCTGGCTATATATCAGATTGTGCGCCATCTTGGGGAGGGTGGGGGGGGGAGGAAGGGGGAGAAAAATTTTCAACTCAAAAGCATATGGAAGTGATTGTTGATAAATCAAAATAACTTAATAAAATTTAAAAAAAAGAATTTACCTGGCTAGATTATCCCTACGATGAAATCTAAAAGTCTAGCCCCCAACAACAAATCCCTTGTGAACATTTAATCCTGAGACTTGTAATTAATTACAACAGCAACTTACCATCACTGCTTCCTCTCAGGACTACATCTGGGGAGGGTGTCTGCTGAGAACGGGAGCCAAATGAGTCCAGACTGTCAAAAGAATCATCTCGACCATGCCGGGGTGGAGAGAGGGAATCACTGCGCTCAGAATCCCAGCAGTCTATATAGCCACTGTCTCGGATGCTACGTTTAGGGCTTTCAATATCATCAGTCTCCTATCCAAAGAAAAAAAAAGTTACAGAAACTAATAAAGTCCAAATCTATGTAGTCTCTACAAATGATGCATTTATAGGTAACTGTTCTTTATTTGACATAAAAATGTAAGGGTTACATATGGCTGCCACTTTAAAGTTATTGATAATCTTCCTCCCATCTGTTCTCTCTGCCTGAATTCTCACCACTATAAAAACACATACAACCACAATAAAAATTTCCAAAGCAACCCAATTCCCCCCTCCACCACACATACACCTCCAGCCATCCAATCTCTGAATCACACAAATGATTAAGATGAAAGAGTATCCAATCAGTTGAACTGACAAGAAAAGGCATGAAGTGAGCAGCAGATGAAAAGAGAAATGATGAAGTATAAGACCTTAACCTTGATTTGTCTTTCGGGATCCATAACTACATGTCTAGAATGGAGAGAAGCTGCTGGCTTAGCCACAGGACTACTCCTGTCTAGTCCCTTCTATCTGGCTGATGGCAGGCAAGCACTTGTTTATGCTGCAGAATCAACTGGGCAAGATCCTTGCTAGTGGGCTCCCACTCTCCCGCTACCTCGAAGGGAAATTCCTGTTATGAAAGACAGATGTCTTTCGGAGGCAATCAGCAATGAAAAATATGCAAAATGCTTCTCCCGATGCTTCAGAAGAATTCAGTCAAGCTCTTCCCTCTTTGCCAGCTCTTGGCTCTGGGGGGATATGAAAGCACTTGGAGCTGACCCACATGTTCAGAGCAGGGAGAACAATGGTTGTCTTTGACAGTCCTGTGATTATAAATTCTTTCCAGCACAAGCAACACATACTAAAACACTGAAACTCCAGCAGAGAGAAAGGTCAGTCGAAGCCATCCTCACCCTCGTGTTATAATAAATCCCTTGTTTTAGCCAGTGTCTAAGCATTAATTACAACAGCCCAGGCTGAGGAAAACAAAAATAACTATGGTCATTCAAAGATAAACCTCGATTTAATTTCTTAACCAACCCCCTCCCCCCAAAATCTCACTTCCCAGACGGTCACTTAAAAATCAGACATTCACAGATTGGCATTTTTTGAGCTGAAAAGCCTGAAATGGGAAACTTGGAATTTCTGGAGATGCTTACAAATTCATTTCAAGATGTCCTCCCACACTATAGAAATGAAAAGATAATTCAAAATGTTAAAAGTTCTTAAAACTAATGGAGAGTTAGTTAGCAGAGGTGGGAGCAGTCCTCTAGGCTGCTGCAGGGACCACCTTCTGGGAAGAGTGTGCTACCACATCAATTGTGTCTCAGTCTAGCTGACATAAGGGCTTCCCACCCCCATCTCAGCCTAGGAGGATGCTGGGGCAGTGGGGGTAGCTGCAGTGTGCAGAGACAGACAAAAGCTTTGCCCTAAGAAGAAGAGTGGGTGAGATGGAAAGGGCAAGACTGAAATATTAGCACCCTCTAACTCCTTCATGGAAGAGGACTGAGTGCAACCCTAGAATGATCTGCCAATCCTGTGTGTGGCCACAGGAAAGACGTTTTCAAATAGCCTCTCTCAAATGAGGGTTTAAGAAATTCAGGGCAGCAGGAGGGGAGGGGGCTTCCACATAGACAAAAGTTCAAAAGATACGCATGCACATCAGGCAAACCCATCTACTGTACTGTTGTGTCTGCTGCATACAATTGTGTGTACTCAAGAGAATGGGAAAAGACATCGATGATTGGACAAAATTAACCTTGTGACCAAAAGGCTGACTTCTTACTGGTTTAAAATCAATCATTTAATATGTCTGATAATGGCAAATAATCATTTGTCCCTTTATAGTTTTTGCTGATTCTTTAAAATACAATATACATGCATTTGTTCACTATATTTCTATCAATTCTCGCAGTGGATAATTCGTCAAAATCAGGAAGACAAGAAAAAAAAGTGTTTACAGTTAAGAAGCAGACATTCTCATAACCAGACTGAGTACAAAATCCCAAACAGAGAAGAACTGGGAATGTGATAGTGACCACCAGTTTGGGTTTCCTTGCAGTCATGTTAATGAAAAAAAAAATTTCATGGTCAGCATGACTACAAAGGCATTTAAATACAAAACAAAATTTAAAAGCAAAAGCCTTATTTTCAATTAATGAAAAAGCCTACCAAAACACAATGACCTATATAAATAGGGGAAAGTAAATGATCACCTCCAATATGTTCCCAATTTTCAATTTTTTAATATTTAATTAATTGAAATTAAATCAATAATTATATATACATATAATTAGAAATTATATAATAATAAAGCTAAAATTTAAAATTGCTTGATTGGCTTATAAAAAACCAAATGTATCCTTCTCAATAAGTAAGCTTTTAAGTGAATGCTCCAAAATTATGAAGAGCAAGTATAGCTTGAAAGAACTGTAAGAAGACACTCCCAACTCTACCCCTTTGCGGAGGTGGAAGGTCCACAAGTGTTGCACATTACACATATTTTCAGACATTTCAGGCGGACTGACTAATTATGTTGATTTCTTCCATTTTCGTGTTTAAAAAAGACTATATGTTATATGTGATATTTCTTTGGAAAGAGGGAACAGAAGGGATACTGAGGGAAGCTACAGTGATGTAAAAAAAATGACATCAGTAACAAAACTTTTTTTTAATAAGCTTTAAATATAGTTAAATTCTGAAAAATTGCTCAGAAAACATAATTTTAAGAAATTGGCCTTCTGTTTTCTGGGACAATTATTAATAAGCATTAAAATAATTTGAAAAGACTTTACCGTAAGGTTCCACCACTACAGAAACCTCAAGGAACTTTGCTCTGAAGAGAGGTACCACAGTTATCAAAAAAATAATAACTAACATTTATGTAGCGCTTACTGTGTGTCAGACACTGTTGTCAAGTGCTTTGCAATTATTATCTCATCTGATCTTCCCAATAACCCTGGGAGGAAGGTGCCATTATTACCCTCATTTTAAAGATGAGGAAACTGAGGCAGACACCAGTTACGCGACTTACTCAGGGTCACAGAGCTAGTAAGTTTCTGTAACATATCTGAATACAGATCTTCCTGACTCTAGGCTGGTACTCTATCCATTGTGCCCCTAGCCGCTAGTATTTTACAGACCAAAAGTGAATAATTTCTAAAACTGAATAAATCTTTTGGTCTGATAATTTGTAGGCTAATGCTCTCATCAGTATCACTGCCAACACTATTATTAAATACACAGTATTATGACTATTCTCTGAATGGTACTGTCTTTAGAAGTGGTCCTTAGTTCCATAGAGATTATAAAATTATTTATAGCCCCAAAATGACATGCATCTTTAAAGGCAATTTTCTTTGTCTTCACCCCTGTGGTTTCATTGGTGTAAGAGGCAGAAAAGTGATCAGCATTTCTGTGGTGCCTTAAGACTGATCGACAAAAAGCCCTACATACACATCATCCTAATCTGCAAGTGCTCTGCAAATTCTCATCCTGGAGACCTGCTGGAGGTGCTGAAGGGCTAGAGATTCGAGCAGGGTTAAAGGCATAGTTTTGAGTCAGAGGAAGAACTTGAACCTGGATCGTCCTGACTCCAAGGTCAGCTCTCTGTCTTCTATTCCATGCAGTCAAGAAAATACAAAATCTTAGAAAATATACTTGGACACCCAGCCTATGTCCTATCCCATTTCTCTCTTTGTTGCTGTTCCGTCATTCAGCCATGTCTGACTCATCATGACAACTGTATAGGGTTTTCTTGGCAAAGATATTGGAGTGGTTTTCCCATTTCTTTCTCTAGCTCATTTTACAGATGAGGAAACTGAGGCAAAAAGGGTTAAGTGACTTGTTCACTGTTACACAGCTAATGAGTGTCTGAGGTCAAATTTTAACTCAGGTCTTCCTAACTCCAGGCCCAGCACCTAGCTAACTCCAAGGCAAAGGAAGGTTAAGTGACTTGCCCAGGGTCACATAACTAGTGAGTGCTTGCAGCTAGATTTGAACTCAGGTCTTCCTGACTCCAGGCCCAATGCTCTATCCACTGAGTCACCTAACTGCCTCCATTTCTCTCTTAGATTGGTGTTACTTATTAGTCACTTCAGATACAGTTCAACACTGATCATTATGGATAATCCACTTCAAAATATTCAAAGTTGACTATAGTTGACCTAAAAAAATCTAGGTATTGTTGACTTCATCTAAAATTATCTGTCAAAAATAGTCCCATTCAGTTACTTGGCATCTCACTATCAGAATGGGTTTTCAAGGGGGAAAAATATGAGAAGAGTTCAAGTATCTCTCCCCCAACTACAGGAGAAAGGAAAGTGGGTAGAGGGGGAAATAAGTCAGTAGGATACTTTGAGCTCCATCTGCTCTCACAGGGCTAGTTATGGGAAAGAAAAACAGTACAAAAGTCAGAGATGTTCATGACTGCACAGCAAGCCAAGAACAGAAAACTTGGATCAAATGTTAGAACTGGAAACAGAGCAGCATGGCGTGGCCCATTTGAAAAATGAAAACTCAGCCACCTGTAGTCATCCTTGGCCAGCACCCTCCCCTAGGAATCTAAATGTAGAGTGAGTATCTTGTATCACAGCCAGAAATATATGCGTGGGCCCCAGAAATGAGTCAAACACTCTATACCAAAGTACCATCCTAGCACTGCATTTTCTTCCCTGATCGCCCACCGGAATGGCTCTGGCAGGCTTACAGTGGGATCCCAGATCTCTACCTGCTAGTGAAGGGCCTAACAGAAAGAATTTTGGACATGACAATGAGAGAGCATGGGTTTAAGTTCTCATCTGCCATCCCGAATGCCCGGCTGAACCAAAATGTGCAGGGAGAATAAACAATCTGTTAAAAGGCTGAAGCCAACATCACTTTGTGAGCTCCCTGCTGTTGGCCAGCTTTCTCTCCCACTGTGAGCAGCCATTTCACTAGGCGTTCCCCTGTATGTGCCTGCATATAGACACATGTAAGTATATTTATACAGGATAAATCTGCATAACACACACATACCACACATACAGACAGACCTAGTGACGGACTGCACCTCTATCTTCTAAGGACCAGCCTAGCTAAGCTTGAAGAGGTTCACGTCTACAAGCTGGGCCATAAGTTAGTTCATTCACTCATTCATTCATTTTTGGCAGCAGTAAACATCTACAAAAGCATATGAGGACTGGGCTGTGTATAAATACAACAATAAAAGGAAAATTCCTCAGGAGTAGTATGATACAGAGGAAAAGAGTGTTGCCTTGAGCCAGAAGATCCTGAGTTCAAATTCCACCTCTGATATTTACTACTTCTGTAATGCTAGGCAAGTCACAAACTCCCTGAGTCTCAGTTCCTTCATTTGTAAAACAAAGGAGTTGAACCAGATGCATAAGAAGGTCCCTTTCAGCCTTACATCTGGGATTCTATGAAATTACAGATGCTGAAAATATTGAAGTAATTAAAACTTATATGAATATGTGGGATGCTCTCCTATATTTCTTTTTAAATTAGAGACAAATTTTAATGTGATAAAAATATCAGCAGTATTACTTGTGGATAACAATTTATTTTAATTTATCTAAAACAATTACAGCTCACGTGAGTGTATGTGGCATACTGAATTAGGCTTCCCCTGTAAAACAAAAAGGCAGAGCACCAGAGTATGGTAGCACATATCAACAATGCTCTGCTACTGCAGAGGTTGAGGCTCTTGGCCTGCATGGACTGAGGAGCTCTGTTTGAGATTCAGTGAAGCAACTGGGCAGTCACAGTTAGTCCAGCACCAATATAATGAACCATGGGAGGACCCAGAATGCCTGAGGAGATTGGAAACAGCAAGATAAACTTCCATGCTGATCAAAAATTGGGATAGAGTACATGAGTGGCCACTGCAATTTCGGCCTGGGCTCAATTGACCAGTCAGTCAAAGGTCCGGTCTACATGACCTCTATAACCTTTTTCAGCTCTAAATCATTATGATGCTGATTCTATTCCCTTAGGTAAAACAGAGCTCTTTAAATACCTCTTAAATACCTCAATGCACTATATAAATACTACTGATTATTTTCATTACTAGGAGGAAAGTCCAGAGCTAGTATAAAACTGTGAGCAGGGGAGATTTTGAAGATTAATGCACAGTCTGAGAGATGGGCACTAGTCCAATTGAGGAAATACTTTATTGTATGAGATATAACATCCCACTGTTTTTGTTTTTTGGGGTTTTTTTAGGCAATTGGGGTTAAGTGACTTGCCCAAGGTCACACAGCTAGTGTCAAGTGTTTGGTCTGAGGCCGGATTTGAACTCAGGTCCTCCTGACTTCAGGGCCGGTGCTCTATCCCCTGCGCCAACTAGCTGCCCTGAGATGTAACAAGTATAATACTGAACAATCAGACTTCCTAAGTACCATCATGGCTTGAGAAACAGGGTGGAAGGGTGGATAGAGCACTGACCTTAAAACGAAAAAGACCCGGGTTCAAATTGAATCCTTACCAGAAGAAACTACTAGTGGCCAAGAGAATATCACTTAAGTGATATTCTTAACCTCAGTTTCCTCATCTGTAAAACAGGGATAATATGCTAGACCTACCTTGTGGAATGCTTTGCATAAAGTGCTATAAAATGTCAGTTAGCATTACCATAATTATTGTTTTCTATTCCACTTCTTAAAACAATCAGATATATCTTGATATATGCATTCCAGTATCCCTATTTCAAGAAGCTTTTTAATCAATTTGGTTTTGAAAGACTCTAAAATATTCTCCCAACCACATAAACCCTTGATGTATATAAATGTATGCTGTTAATTAAAAACATATTGTATCTATACATCAAAGCTGCCTCAACAGCATTTTTACTGGGAAATATTGTTAGCAGATCTCGTAAGTTACTGTGTATATAATTCAAGATAAAAAAAACTTGCAGTATACTTTTAAAAATTCCCTAACTCAGACATAAAAAAAATTCAATTGTTTTTCTCCAAATTGATAATTGTATTGTACAAATGAAAATGATATTAGGGTGATGAATTGTCTTTTCAATATACAATTCATTATTGTGTCATGGTTATAATGTATGTTGGCAATGGAGGGAGGACTTTTTTAGTTTGTCCAGATTTCCAGATCCTATGTCATGTGTAGAAAAAGCCCTTAGTTATAAAGACAAAGTAAAATGATTTTTAAAATTAAGGTTCAAGATAAGGTTTCATTTTCTATAAAAACTGCATTGTTTTAATCAAATTGTTTCCTTCTTAAAGAAAAATTAGCGCTGACAAATTTTGCCTAGGCCAGGGAAAGACAACTCTAGGCTGAATTAGATCTTTGGTTATCAAATCCTAATTGAACTCAATTTTCTTGGATGTGAAGGCCAGACAGTTCAGATTCGTGTGGGATGCATGTGGCAAAGATTTAATCAATTTTCAAACATGGTGGTTTGCACATGTCTGAAACATTTGTGCCCCTATGAAATACTGCAAAGCTGAACCGAAATGCCCTTCAAAATGGAGCTTGTTTCTTTTCAGCCTTTAACAGCCCTCATAAGCTAAAGATGAAGAGTATAGTTACCTTTCGCATCTGTGCCAACAATCCTTCAAACTCCTTCAGGTTCAGTGTGGTTCCACTATACGCTGTGCAGCTGTTTGCTGCTTTCCCCAGCCAGTAAATGGTAACTAATACCTGAGGGAAAAAAAAAAGGAGTAAGTACAGAACTCCTTTGTAAGATTACTTTTCGACTTACTAAGGAATCTATACTCAACAGTAACAGGAAGGCAGAAGAGGGAGAATGTCTGATATTGATTTATAGAAAGCTCACCATCCATGAGGTACCCATTAAATGTAAAATTCATTTTAACAAGAACCTAATGTCATGTCAGTCCGCACAAACAAGATTCAGTAGTTAACATTGGACTAAGGTTTTAGGGAAAGTTAAGTAATGGGAAAGGCCTCTGAAAGAAAGACCAGAAAATCCTACAACATTATTTTCAAAGAATGAAAGCGTTTCAAAATTAAACAAGCAAAATTTCAGCAATTGCTCGGACTCTTCATTGACCCAAAGCAATCTGCCAATAACTTTAAAGAAACACAGTGGATTATTTTAAGGCCAAAATATAGTCTCAGTTCTACAGGTTTTGCTACATAGTACTGATGGGAAGAACAACACACATAGGAATGAAATTAGATTGTAAGTCACCAGCGTGCCTACCATGAAATGGCATTTGATAAAGCCAGGGAAAAAAACAACAATAACTACTCAACTATAAGCCAGGGATGTAACAAGTGGTAGACTTAGAAGAGTTTGGGGGTTTGATTTGAACCAACAATTCAATTCTATGAATTCTGGAACTCAATGACTTGATCCTTGCTGATACTGATGCTGTTACCGATTAACATCTCAAATGTTCATGTATCTTTTATGTTCAATTCAATGTCATGAAACTGTGGTTCCAAGTTCGGGTCGTTTTCCTACCCCTCAAAATAAAGTTTTCAGTAAAAAACAAACAAACAAACAAAACAAAACTAAACAAACCATACATCAAGTTGCATTCCCCAAATCAAGGGCAGAAAGGCTTCAGATGAGGGCTAGTCCCTTAGAAGGGAATCATCCAGGTCCAATAAATCTCAGCAGATGCAAGGTTGCTATTTCATTTCCATCCTCACCACTGTTTCATTAGCAAAATTGGTGAGGCTTTGAGATATTTAGTTGAGTTGCCACTCATTCTGTGTCGCCTTCTTTCATTAACCAGGTCTGAATATATTTTAAAGAACACAGCATTTACATAGTTTCAAATGGCAATAATTCCAAAATATGACATCTGTATCATGGCTTCTGCAGGACCTTCATGACTCTCCCAAAACACCCATTTCCATGTAAGTTTTGGAGCTTGAATACATTTAGCAAGCAAATTTCCAGAGAATAAAATGCTCCAAATGTCAGTACATTAACCAGGGCCATAATAACATAACTCTAATGTACCCTAAGTGTAGTAGGTGATTTGGCAAATCATAATGGCAGACACAAAGGCATTAAAAGACAGGCAACTTTAATCTATGGAGTTTTTTACACAATTGGAATTTTACTTGGAAGAATGGCATACACCTGCTTGGGAATTTCAGCATGAGGAAGAAGTAGAATAGGAAGAGGGGGTGTCAGTCAAGTTTATGAGCTGACAGGATGAAAAAACAAACCCCCAAGTTACCACTATACCAATAACCAAGAGAATTCAGCATTTGATCATATCTGATATTCTCCAATTTAAAAATTAAAATGGAATTGGTTTAACCTATTTGCCTTTTTATAAAGGAAACCCAACTAGAAAGTGCTGGTTCAGAATTGAACCTTGCTTCATATGACTGTACAATTACAAAGTAATTTCATGTACAGTGCTTCCTTTTGTCTTTGGAAAAGACCTATGAATACTTCAAAGGTCTGTGGAAAAATTTAAGTCAGCAAAAATGTAGCCTACCTACAATAGTTGCCACTTCAGATTAATCTACTGTTTTCTTAAAACAATTTGCCCAAACATCTTAATTTAATAATCTCATCTGTACCTACCAACCTGGTTGAGAGACTGTGTAATGTAACTATTACCACATGTCACTTGATCTCTAAGTAACCCAACCACTCACTGGAGATAAGCTTTCATTTCATCATAATTTGGAATTTTTTAAATTATAAGGAAGCCCTAAAATTTTGCTATTTCCATTCCCATTAGTGTCATTAATTACTACATCAGTGTAATACATAATTGTATCCTGAGGAGGGTTCTTCTTAGGTAAATGAGGGTACCATCCCATAAACTGAATTTATAGCTTTGATCATCAACAAAAGCAGAGGTATACAATAAAAAAGATCTATATGTAGGTATAAAGAAAAATTGAAACTTACATTTTTCAGCTTTCTGCTACAGTCAATGCTCCTATTATATAAGAAAAGGAGAAGAAAAGTAATTAGAAAAGCAAATTCCTCATAAGGGTATAACTCATGTGACTTTCCTCCAGCAATACAAAAATATTTTTGGAAGTTAACAAATACAAAATAACTAGAAAGATGATATGAAATAAGACACTTTACATATATCTATATATGGCTATATAGATACATATGTATATGTATATGTATATGTATATGTATATGTATATCTATCTATCTATCTATCTATCTATCTATATATATATATATATATATATATATAGAGAGAGAGAGAGAGAGAGAGAGAGAGAGAGATGTTAAGGATTTCAAAAACGGAATAAAGGTAAAAATGGAGAGTTTAGACCTCATGAAGGAAAGGTATGACTATAGGACCTTTGTGAAATATAAAGATGAAGATAGGGACTGGATTTGTAATTTCACTTGTATAGCAACTCATGAAAAATTTCTACAAGTCTACTTTCTCTGCAAACTTAGGAGTTGTGGAATGTTGACTTCAGCAGTGAGAGGCTAAGTGACTTGGTCAGGAGTCACACAGCCAGTATTTGTCAAATCTGGGTCTTGAACTTAGGTCTTCCTGACTTTGAGCTTACCTCTCGTTCACTATCTCATACTCTTTAATCTTACTGTCTCTAAAATTAAATCCTATTTTTACTGGTTGTAACATAGAATAACAATTAGATTCATAAATTTTAAATTCATAAATATATAAATGTATTTCACACACATTCTCAAAGCTTAATTGCTTAAAACCATAGGTTTGATCAAAGCAATTAGTAATGGAGAGTGTAACTATATTTCATAAGCCTTGCATTTCACTCTAGGGAGCTCGGTCAGTACTTTCATTTACTTATCCTCTCATAAGCACAAAAAACCTTATTTAAATCATGATAGGTTTGATAATAGATATTTAAGAAGCAACATAACTAATAAATTATATTACTTAAACTGTGAACATCAGCAAATGTTGGAGTTTTAACTACAATATGTGTGAATATACTCCAATGACATGTGCATGAATGCAAGAAGCCTTCCAAAAATTTAGGCAAAAGTATGTAAAAATATTTATGTGGGATTATTTTATGATAGACATTTATGTATATGAGAGTTCCAGACACTCAGGTAAAACCATCCATTTGAAGTTTACATCATTCAAATATAATGGATTCCAATTTCCTTTTAAGAAAAAGTAATTAAAAATTAAATTAATTAACTTTTAAAATTTAATTAATCAAAAATTAAAAACTGGGAATCTAAACAGAGAAGGGAAGAGAATAAGCATTTATATAGCACTTACTAAGTGCCAGGCACTGTGCTAAGCATTTTTAAAAGTATTATTTCATTTGATTCTCACAACAACCCTGTGAGGCAAGTGATGTTATTATTCTCATTTTACACTTGAGGAAACTGAGGCAAACAAAGGTTAAGTGACTTGCCCAGAGTCATACAGTGTCTGAAGCAGGATTTGAAACCAAGTCTTCCTGTTGCCAGGCCTACTACCTTATTCACTGTGTCACCTTACTGCTTTCATTGAAATGTTATATTCTAAAAAACAACTCCCTCTCTTTCTATAGGTTATATGTTCAACATATATAGAATATATGAATTTTATATATCCATATATAGAATACATATACATGTGAATATGTAAATATACATAAATATATATATTAAAATACATATGGAACATTTTCACTTAATTGTACAGAATAATTACAAAATAAAGTAAAAATGTTTCTAAAATAATATAAATGAATAGTTTGAGAAAATCATACAATACTCTTTCTGAAAATCATTATTTTGCTTCCTTGGAATGATGTTTATTCATATACCTTTCTAAACTTTGGCTCTGATTCCTCATCTAATTGCCTTACATACATGCCAAATTATATGAAATTAAAAATAGGGAGAAGGTTCTTGCCACCAAATCCTTGGCATTGTCAAATGCTTCAACAGATATGAAATAGTACTGGAAAAGGTACGTTACCATATGCCTTGGTGCTACCAGGACCAGTGGACCTTTCCATCTGATTTCTCATTGAAACCTCCACTGCTATATGTACTTTGAACAGAAAGAGCTCTTAAATAGGCTTCATTGTTCCTTATTTCATTGACTCACAATTTTTGGTTCTATCCATTACTTATTAAAAAAACTAAACTTTCATATAAAAAAAATTCAATAGTTGCTCTTTAAGATTAGTTACCATATGTCATGGATTACATCATGCAATAATGTACATAACAAATTATTATTTTATGTATTCACCAGCTCTTCTGATCTGATAGAAGGAAAAAAAATAACTAGAGAACGTGCTGTTATGGCTTCAATCTAGCATTGCTATAACAATTTAACAACGTCCCCTTGTATAGTGCATCCTGGGGCTGATACGATAACATAAAAACAACAGCCTAGATGAAGGGCTCTGGGGACAGGCAGTTGACTTCTCCCCAGATCCTGAACCCTAGAAACAAAAGGAAGAGTATTTCTCTGGGCAATATGGGTAACAGCATTGCAATCTTTATATAAAAATGGTTATATTCAAACCATGCTAAGGAAAAGGGAAGAACTTAAGGGAAGATGATGAACTAGTAAGTTCCCAAACTTATTTGGCCTACTGCCTGCCCCATTAAAAAAAAAATTACTTAGTGACCCCCTGGAAATCTACTTTCTTTAGTAGTTTTTTTTTCTTTTTACTTTCTTTAACAGGTTTTTTTTTGGGGGGGGAATTTATGTCATTTCAAAAAATATAATTTTTTTAAATGATACATCTAAAATTCAATAATGTATTGTAAATTTGTGGGTTTTTCCCCTTTTTGATGACACAATATTGTGTCATGTAACCCTATAGTAGCATATTGTAAACAAGTCATCACATCCACATATTACTGGCCATGCATGCAATGCGTGACATGCTCGCCTGCCAATACTTGCTTATTAAAACCTGTCAGCAGACTTGACCACTGATCAGGTGTAACTTGCATTTTCAGTGTTTATTTGGAAAATAATGTAATCACTACAACTATAATGTAATCACTACAGCTTTAACTCTGTTACACAACAGATGAAAAATATATGAATGGATTTTCAAAATGTTCTTATTTTCTCTTCTTTCCTTATGCTTCCACCACCCCTTATTTTTATTCAATGCCCCCCAGTTGCACCCAAGGCTACTACCACCCCTGTTGATCATTCCAGCGCCTCCCAGGAGGCACTATGTCAACTTTGGGAGCCTAAGGACTAGTATGGAAAACAGGAAAAAGGAAAATGAAAAGGGGAAAGCATGAGGAAAACAAAAGTCAAAGACCAGGAAAAGGTGGGAAATGGGGAGAACTGAATGACAGGAAATAAAAGGAGGGAAAGATACTAAAATAGAAGGAAAGAGGACCAGAGAGAAAAGAAGAATGGGGAAGGGTGGGAAGAGGGAAGAAATTAATTAACAGAAGTTAATTGTAAGGTAATTATATCAACATAATTGAAACACCCTGGCTCTTCTCCTTGGACCCTCTCTCCCTTTGCCCTCTCTTTCTCCCTTCCTTCCTCCCCCCACCCCACTTGCCTTCCTCTTTTATAATTATAGTCCTACTGTAATTACCATAACTTCTTTGCAATCTGAATTTAAAAGCTCCCTGGATCTAAACACTGCCAGTTATAAGGCAGGGCCCAAAAACATCTTTGTTTTCTAAAATTCTAAAATGATTATAGATTTTAGAATTCCCCTAGAACTAGACTCTCACTAAAAATCCTGCGTAGATGACATGAAGGCCATAATTTTACAAAGGGATGGTCACTTCTAGCTTTAAAATTTTGTTTACTTAAGTGAGGTATGCTTTCCCTGGCTCCCTAGATGAAAATGTATGTAACATTTCTGTCAAATCACTAAACTGCCATTACCCCCAGCCACCCAACTTTCAGTTTCAACGAAAACACCTGATAGTCTATGAAATTCAAAACGGGAGCTAGTTTCTCTCTTCCCTGAAACTATAAAACTGAATATTTTGATTTGCAGATGGCCTGATATGAGTTAAAAGTTTCAAATCAAGCATGGAAACTGCTTACAACTTAGTACACCCCATTCTTATCAGAAGATACTCAAAGATTATGAAATTATTTACCATGGTTATTTGCTCAACTGAAAAAGTCTCAAAGGGCAAGCAAAGTTCAGCCTCTTTAGCAATAATTATATATAATATATATGCATATATATACATACATATGATGTGTGTATACACATATACATATCACATATATATATGTATGTATACAGAAATATACATATACACACACATATATCTATCCAGTGCCCAGGATCCTCATCCCAGAGTCCCAGAATAAAAGAGGGATTGTCAAAGTGACCTTGTCCAACCCCTCGAATTGTGGTAGAGTGGAAAGCACCTAGGTCCAAAGTCTTCCCTGTCACTTTGTACTTGAGTGACTTTGGCCAAACTGTTTCTCAATTTCCTCCTCTGTAAAATGAGGGGGTAGGAGGGGCAGCTAGGTGACGCAGTGGATAAAGCTCTGGTCTTGGAGTCATAAGTACCTGAGTTCAAATACAGTCTCAGACAATTGATGCTTACTAGCTGTGCGACCCTGGACAAGTCACTTAACCCAGACTGCTTCACCAAAACAAAACAAAACAAAACAAAAAGGCAAAAACAAATGTGAAGGGGGGGGTAGGACCAGATTATTCAGTATGAAAAGTCTGTTCTAGTTCTAAAACTCTGTGCATACAATCCCTCATTTTATAGAAGATCAAGCTCCCAAAAGTGACCTGTACAAAGTCCCACACAGTGGTAGAATTAGGACTAGGATTCGAAACACCAAATTCTAAATCCAGGTTTTTTGCACTGTACTACAATGTTTCCAATTAAATAAGAACATAATTTAATTGAATTGAGCAACAAAGGAAAAATTTTTATTTGCATATTTCCAAAGACTAGCTGTTTAAAAAACTATTATTTTTCAATACCTGAAGAGTCTGTGATTTATTAAGTTTAGGTCCTCCCCTTTAAATAATGAGGTCAGCAACTCTTCTTGAGGAGTCAGACATGACTGAACGACTGAATAACAAAAAAAGGAACTGTGCCACCCCCCTAAAAAAATTCATCATGGGTTAGCCACCCTTCTGGTGATAAGCCTTTCTAGACTTAATTAAACCATTCCTCAGATGCCTATTCTCTTATCTACTGCAATAAAAATCAATCCAGTTTAATAGCTATTAAGAAAACAGAAGTTCCACTTCCTGGAGCCAAGACGGCAAAGTAAGAAGTAACTTGCTCTCACCCTCCCTTCTGAAAGCCCAGAAAATATCGACCCAGGAAAAACACTGAGCCAGCAAAAAGACAAGGCACTGCAGTCTTGTAGCTCAGCATACTAGGGGGAGATGCTGAGACCCAGGTTGGTGCAGCAGGCAAGTGCCAACACAAGGACCTCTAGAGAGCCTCAATACAGGCAGGGGAACTGGTAGACACCAGCTCAGAAAACCACCTCGGGCAAAGGTGTTCTCCAGCAGCCAAATCATCAGATGCCTCAACATAACTCTGGGAAGCACAACTCCTGCTAGGCAAAACCAGCAGTGAAACATCCCTATGCAAGGCTCGGGAGAGCAGGAGCCAAACATTCAAGTGAAAGCCTGGGTGAGCAGGGAAAGAAGCTTGGGGAAGTGCCCCATTTGCTCCAGCAGAAGAACTCAACATTTTTTTTTTAAGTCAGGAAATAGGCAAACACCATGCACAAAAAGTGGAAATGGACAATGACCATAGATTCTTATTATGGGGAAAGGGATGATCAAGGCACAAATTCAGAAGGGGACAAGATTATCAACATACCCACATCTGAAACCTCAAAGGGGAATATGGAACTGGTCTTTGACCCAAAAAGCCTTCTTGGAAGAGCTCAAGAAGGATTTAAAAAGTCAAATAAGAGAGGTAGAAGAAAAATCGGGAAAAGAAATGAGAGGTATGGAAAGGGAGAGTCAATAGCTTGGAAAAGGAAGGACAAAAATTAATTGTAGAAAACAAGTCCTTAAAAAGCAGAATTGGCCAAATGGAAAAGGAGGCACAAAAATTTACTAAGAGAAGAACTCCTTAAAAAGTAAAATTCATCTAGAAGAACAAAAGGTCCAGAATATCAAGGGAACTAATGATAAGAAACGCAAGGGAAGGTGGCCTACCTGTATCAGATCTTAAATTGTATTATAAAGCAGCAATCATCAAAACTACTTGGTACTGGCTAAGAAACAGAGTGGTGGATCAGTGGAATATATCAGGAATGTACAGTAACAGCCACACTGTTCAATGACTGACTTTGATAGACTTGGCTCTTCTCAGTCATGCAAAGATCTAAGACAACTCCAAAAGACTCATGATGGAAAATGCTATCCACATCCACAGAAAGAACTATGGAGTCTGAATATAGATGGAAGCACACTATTTGTTCTCCTTTTCCTTTGCTGTTTTGTTTTATTGTTTTATTCTCATGGTTCCTCCCATTAGTTCTAATTATTTTTTACATCATGATTAATGGGAAAATATGCTTAATATAAATGTATAAGTAGAGCCCATATCAGATTGCATGCCATCTTTGGGAGAGGGGAGGACAGAAAATTTAAGGAAGTTAATATTGAAAATTAAAAATAAGTGAATTAATTCTTTTTTAAAAAAAAAGAAAGAAAACAGGATCACCTCCACAAGACAACAGGAATCCAAGTGGACTTTTATTTTTAAATTTACCCCTAAGATCTCACAAGATACTTCTTTTTTACTATCCTGACCATGAGCTAACTCTTTCATTAGAAACTAGTAAGCCTTTTCATTTAACTATTAACATTCTGATGCAGGAAAATTTTTGGCCCAGAGCATTACTGGAATAGTCATGCTGCATTAATGTAGTTAGCAATAGGCTCAATAAAGGATTTATTTTCAGAGAACTTAAAAGCTGACAGAGGAAATGAGTAGTTGCAAATATAAACAAAGATTTCTCTACAATCAATTGCTTTCACGGCTTAATCAACTGAGTGTAGTTTTGTTTACTTGTCTTGCAACTTCAAACCACCTATTCAAAAGATCAAAATTGTAAGCCCCTAAATGTTTCTTGAAATTGGTTGTAGCCTACAAGAGATTTTGTACAAATGTCTTTACTTTCTTCCCTCCTTAGAACTTTTTCTACTCTCTAAAAATCTGGTTTTTGTGTACAGTATCTTGTGTCTAACAGAATTGGGTTAGGTTTTATCCAAAAGTACACAGGAAAGAAAGTTGATGTAAATGTTCTGAAACTTTGATTTTTATCATCACTGTTACATGCCTAACAACATTAACAATCCCCTTAAACCATGCTCACCTCCCCCCAAACACAAAAGATTGCTCTATGTATGAATGTACATTATCACTTACTTGACTGCTACTCTATTTGAAGTGTCCTGGAGATCACCTGGGTCAAAGAGTTGAGATTCTTTAAGTCCAAGCTCTTTGCAGCCTCTTAAGAATAAGATGATATTGTCCTGAAAGAAAGCAAAGAAATTCAGTTCTTCTTCATCTGAGAATATCTCAGCAAACTAGTCCCTTCCCTTTAATAATTTAAATTACTAAGAGACTCTAGTCATTTATATTCAGCTCAACTTTAGGCTAACTTGTATATTACACAAAAAAATACTACACAGGCAAGCGAAGGGCATTATATTTCATTTACCTCGGGACACTTGAAATTAAGGCATATTCACATATCAATTTACATGTTGTTGCCTTGTATGGCTGGCCAAATTTTTCCTCTGAGTATGTCTTTTCTCCCACGCTAGATTATAAGCTCACTGAGAGCAAGTATTTGTGATTTCAGCACTATGATAGTAGGTAGTTTGGGTGATTGTGACTCATGAAGCATCCTGGAGACTGGGGAGTTCTTGTGAAGGCACAAAAGAAACTCATCTACATCTCTGGCTTAACTAGACTCTTGGGAAATTTGAAGAATGAAAACGGCAGAAATGGAACAGAAGTAGAGCCCAGGAGAGGAAACAAGAGAGTCGGACAGTGGAGTAAAGAAAAAAACAAAAAGGAAAACAAATGCTAGGAGCTACAGTAGCAACACAAACAGGTCAACTGGGCAAGACCTAAATCTGGCTTCAGAGAAAAAGTCCAAACTATTTGTTTTTACATTAAAAGTGTCCCTCTTAGGCATTCTGGATGTATGATGTCATACTGAGCAGATCTCCCTGCTTAATTCCCTTTTCCATCCACTGCCCCTCGAACAACCAGTGTTAGCTTTGGTCTAGCGGATCTCATTTTTTATAATAAACTGCAGATAGATTTAATCTCTTCATATTTCATTCAACTTTGAAGCAAAATATTCCCCATGTAAAGATATTTCCACAAAAATAGCTTATAAATATTTAAAATTCAAAAATGTCTTCTTTCTCTATTGCCTTAAAATTTTCAGTAATCATCAACCTTTCCACAGTTCCATGAGAACATTTTTACCCCAACAAATAACCTAAATCAGAGTGTTCAATCCTGATTAGTTTCACTTGTATTAATCCTTCAAAACACAAAGAAGTATGAAATGCTAAGTCAAAAACAATTTCTAAACCTGATCAGTTTCTCTATCAATCAAAGCAACTGTTTTTAATTGAGGAAATTTTTTCTAATCTTTCCGTATTTTCTACTCCCACCCCTGTAGATCATTAAGTTTAAAACCTTCTTGGTAAAATTTTCCCCTTTTCAACACAGTTCTAGGGAGGGAGAATAAGAAAAGGCATATGTAATGACCTATGATGTAAAATGATCTTCCTGTTTCAAAATTAAAACAAAGTGCTATATTGGGCCAGGAACCTCTATTGTCTAATGACAAGCCTTACTGAGTTCAGAGAGACTCATCATCAGGTTGGTGGCAGGGTAATGAATGTTGTGACCATAAAACTCTCCAAGGTCATTTATTAAACTAAAAAGTTGATTATATCTGTTTGAGTGGAGGAAGTATCCCACTGACCAAATCATAGATGCCTTTAGTTGGCTCTACTGAATGACATTTCAAATATAAAGGCTATCCTTTCTCCTCATAAAATAATTTGATCACATACAAATATATTGATCCATTAGGGAAGAAACTAAATAGAGCTCACGTCCCCACTCTTCTCCATCTGTCTGCATTTCCATATCTGCGCTGGAAAACATTTACACTACCCACAACCATTACAAAATACTCCCACCCCTTCCTCCAATTATCCAAGGATAGTGCCCCATCATCTCACTCATTACCCTCACAGTAACAGCAAAACAAATAGCCCAGTCATCTGGGGCTCCTGCTTCTTCCCTCTTCATAATGAAGGCAGTAGTTCTACTACAAATGGTACCACATATCCTTCCTCTACCCAAATTCTTCCTAACCATTAGAAGTAATCACAGTGAAGGGTGGGGGCAAAGCCAAGATAGCAGAGAAAAGCCAGCAACTCACCTGAGCTCTCCCCCAAACCCTTCTGAATATCTTTAAATAATGCCATAAAATAATTCCTGAAGCAGTAGAACCCATAAGAGGACAGGATGAAATAATTTTCCAGCCAAAGACAACTTGGAAGGTCAGCAGGAAAGGTCTGTCCTACTTGAGTGAGATTGGAGCACAGTACAGCATGGACTGTGCCAGCACAGACCCATCCCAAACGCAGCCCCAACAAACCAGGAGCAGGCCTTGGGAGTCACTGAGTCAATCACAGCTGCTTCCAGAGCTCTCAGCCAACAGACAGTAAGGAGGTAGAAAAACTGGTCAGAAGCAGACTACAGGAGTCTCTTTGCTGGCACTGTGGGTAGCACTGTTCTGCCCATATTCAGATCCAGATCACAGTCCTGGTGGCAGTCCCAGGGCGAGGAAGGGCACTTGCTCATCAGAGCTTGCGGCCAGTGGAGCAGGGACCTTCATCACAGTTCCATGGCAGAAAAGAGTGCTTGTGGTTGCTTGCAGACCAGGAGAGTAGTAAACACACTTCTCCTTAGATCATACCACCTTGGAAGAACTGAAAACTTACAGGTCTCTAGAAATATCTCTGAAAACACCCCTACCCAGCAAAACTGAGTATAATCCTTCAGGGAAATGATGAATATTCAATGAGATAAAGGACTTTCAAGCATTCTTGATGAAAAGACTAGAGTATTAGGGTAATTAGGAGTATAGATAGAGGGCACAGGTGTGAGTTGAATATGAAGGGATGATATAAAAAATAAAATTAAGTGGTGAGAGAGGAATGTTAAGAGGAAGAAACGGAGAGGTAGAAAGGGGTAAATTATCTCATATATTATATAATGGGGTAAATTATCTCATATAAAAGAAGTAAGAAAAGGCTTTTACAGTGGAGGGGAAGAGGAGAAGCAAGTGAGCCTTACATCAGAACAGGCTCAGAAGGAATAACATGACATACTAACTCAATTGGATATAGAAATCTATCTTATCCTACAGGAAATTAGGAGGGGAAGGGCATAAGGGAAGGGGAGGAGGAGTGATAGAGGAGAGAGCAAATTTGGGAAGAGGCAGTCAGAAGCAAAACATTTTTGAGGAGGGACAGAGCAAAAGGAGAGAATGGAATAAATAGGGGTGGGGCATAGGATGGAGGGAAATACAGTTAGCAATAGTAAACTGTGAAAAAAATTTCAAAGCAACTTTCTCTGATGAAGGCCTCATTTCTCAAACGTATAGAAAGCTGAGTCAAATTTATAAAAATAAGAGACATTCCCCCAACTGATAAATGAGCAAATGATATCAACAGTTTTCAGATGAAGTAATCAAAGCTATCTATAGCCACATTAAAAAAAAACGCTAACTCACTACTGACTGGAGAAACGCAAATTAAAACAATTCTGAGGTACCACCTCATACTTATTAGATTGGCTAATAGGAGAGAAAAGGACAAATGTTAGAAGAGATGTGGGAAAATTGAGACACTAATGCACTGTTGGAGGAGTTGTGAATTGATTTAATCACTCTATATAGTGAGTTGGAACTATGCCCAAAGGTCTATAAAACCATGCATATCCGTTGACCTAGCAATACCACTACTAGCTTTCATCCCAAAAGAGATTAAAAAAAAAGGAAAAGGACCTATATGTCCAAAAATATTTATAGCAGTTCTTTTCTGGTGGCAAAGAATTGGAAATTGAGAGGATGACCATTGAAGGTAATGGCTGAACAAACTGTGGTATATGATTATGATGGAACACTACTGTGCGATACGAAATTATGAGCAGGATGCTCTCAGAAAAACCTGCAAAGACTTACATGAGCTGATGCAAAGTTAAATGTACTGTGTACAAAATAACAACAATATTTTGCAATGATCAGCTGTGAACGACTTAGCTATTCTCAGCAGTACGATGATCCAAGACAACTCTGAAGGACTTATGATAAAAAATGCTATCCATCCCCAGACAAAGAACTGATGGTGTCTGAATACAAACCGAGGCACACTTTTTTAAACTTCCTTTATTTTTCTTCAGTTTTGTTTTGTCTATGTTTTCTTTCAAAACATGACTAATATGGAAATATTTTACATGACTACACATATCAAATTGCTTGCCTTCTCAATGGGGTGGGATGGAGAGGGAGGAAGGCAGAGAATTTGGAACTCAAAGTTTTAAAAATGAATGTCAAAAATTGTTTTTACTGCAATGTAGCTGGGGAAAAATAAAACACGAAAAATAATTTTTTTTAAAAGAAGTAATCAAGGTGGTAGTCAATAGATTACCCTTCTGGAGTTAAGCCAGTAAGATTATCCATTAGCAAGTTTTATTAACAGGAACTTTCTAATTTGATATATACAAGGATGACTGGTGTCTGTTCATTATTATGACAAGAAATTTCTTACTTTCTGAACAATCAAAGAAAAATTTAAAGTACATGCACTATAGTTTTACTATTATTTATTTTATTGAATTCTAATTCTTTGAAAATTGGTAAATACTACATGATATACACGTTAGGGTTGCTTATAAGTATATATATGTGCGTGTGTGTGTGTGTGTGTATATATATATATATATATATATAAGAGAGAGAGAGAGAGAGAGAGAGAGCGAGAGCGAGAGCGAGAGAGAGAGAGAGAGAGAGAGAGAGAGAGAGAGAAGAGAGAGAAAGAGAGGGCATATGTTTACATATAATCTAGTTATATAATATGCAATAAATGTAAAATGCAAAATTTGGTTAGATGGATGAAATGAGAGGAAAAACCATTTGCTTTTTGGTGTTTTCCCTCCAATCAACAAGCATTTTTAAAAAACATATTAAGTTCCAGATACTGTGCTTGGAGCTAGGGATACAAAAATAAATATCCAACATTTTCTGTCTTCAAAGACTTTACATTCTACCAGTGGAAAACAAAATGTACACATATAAATAAAGCAAAATATTTACAAAGCATATACAAGGTAATTTGCAGGGGAGGGGAGGGGAGGAGAGAAATAGAGCAACTAGGTGGCAAAGTGAGTCTAGAGTCAGGAAGACCTGAGTTCAAACCCAAGCCTAGACACT